TTCCTTCCTTCCTTCCTTCCTTCCTTCCTTCCTTCCTTCCTTCCTTCTCTCTTTCTCACTCTTATCTCCCCTGTCTTTCTCTCTCTCCTTCTGTCTTTCTCTTCCCTCCTTCCTCCCTCTTTCCACTTTTGGACTGCAGCCCTACCCCAGCCTTCTAGGGTGCTGCATATAACTGGGACAGCTTGAGAGAAGGTGAGCTTTGAAGATGCTTTACACCCTAGAAAATGCACAGTTGGAAAAGAGAAGCAGAGGAGAATGGGCTGATTCAATTTAGAAAGGCAAAGGAAAGGCAGGAGGATGGTTGGCCAGCAGTCTTGCAATATTTTAAAGGAACGTCTGAAAGAAAGGCGAGAAATAGCTACTTTTATTTAGGACAAGTTCCCCATTTATGGGTAGGGATGTACAGAACTAAGCACACACCACACTTTTGAGTGGTTGCATGCTGTGTGTGTGTGTGTGTGTGTGTGTTCACCAAAATGGGTAGGTGCTGGATGAAGAAGTTGGCAGGGTCAGGGCGAAAGCAGATCTGGGTTTTAGTTGAGTTTTAATTACATTCAACCATATGGATGAAGAAAGAGAACACGATGAACTCTCGTATATTTAATCTCCACTCCTCCTTTTAAACCCACCCCCTGCAATTTGATGGTAAATTTTGAGTGTTATAGAAAACTTTGGTGGTCCACAGGGCCTCATTGGAACTACAGAAAAGGTTTAGAAATCAGACGTATGGGTTTTGATTGATGTCAGCTTTAGTCAAGGATAGGGAGATTGTTCATGGTTGATCTTTACAACAGATAGTCAAGGATATCTCATTTGCAAGTACATAGCAACAGCAACATAACCATGAGTTGAGCCCACCCTTTACTGAATCGATAGAAACTCGTGATCATCAGGAATGAAATTTTAGTTCTTACGATTAGGGATGAGCTTCTGGTATATGTATATAAAAAAAACCAACTAAACATGTGACTTGAGAATACTCTAATCATATGTCCTTTTGCAACAGGGGGGCTCTTTGCAAGATTGAGAGGAGGCGGAGGAAGAGGAAGACAACAAGGAATGCATTTTGGAGGCACAGTCGGAGATTACTGGAATGTCCTTGGAAATTTTCCAAGCTATTAGCAGAGATCGCTTGAGATGAATCTTTCCCGAGCA